AGACAAGTTCAAGTCTTGTAAGCCCTAACCTGTCTATGAAAACTTACACCAGCCCTCACTGCTAACCACTCTAAAGGCATTTTCTGACCTACATTTTCTCTGACCTCAGACATAGAATACCTCATTACATGCATAATATGTAATGCATGTATTATTATGTGCATAATACCAACTCTTCATATCATTTTGTATATGTTAATGTCATCAGCATGACATATGAATTCATTGTTCTTCTACGGGAACACAAAGAACCACCAGTTACTAGCTGAATGCTCTTCCTCAGCTTGCTTGTATAGTGGGAATCATAATAGTGCTTATTCTGCTGTTTGAAGATTAAATGGATAAGATTAAATAGATTAACACTTATTAAGTGCTTAAAGCTGTACCCGGAACACAGTTAAAACTCAATAAGTATTAATTATTATTGCTGTGGGCCTTTTTTATTCAAAATGTGGGTGATCTGTTGAGTTCTTTCTATTAAAGAACTTGTATTATTACACATATCAGACATATTCTTGATGTCATTGAACTTACATCTTGCCTTCTTGGAAACTACTCTTTCTAGAATATTTCTCATACTTTCTCCACTATCTTCCATGTAATTTTCTTTTTTATTTTGTTTTATGAAACATTTTGTCAACTTTATCTTTTAGCTATTCTGTGGTCTTTATATCCAACCTCCTCTTTTTATTAATAATAAAATCTCTGTTGTATAACCAGCTACTTGATCACTCATTTCTCAGTGCTTTCTGCATCTAGTTGTCTATATGACTAAGTTCTGGGAAGTGGGTGGAAATGGTATGAAACACTTCCTTGAAATCTCTTAGAAGGAAGAGACATACCTTTTCCTGCTCCTGCTTCCCGCTTCTGCTTGCTATGTGGGATGTAGAAGCCCTGCTTTCTTACTTCCAGGCTTCTCATATACAAAAGCAAAATAAAACTCTAAACTTTGAGTCTTATTTTTGTTTTACAAGAGCTTTTTCTCCTCTTCTTAGTGTTTCTTTAAGTAGCATTTTGTTCTTGTTTGATAGTATCTTGTCCTTAAAATATATTAGAGGGTTTTCTTCTGCTTCTTGCATTGTCTGTGTTTCCACCAAGCTTGTTTTTTCCTGTATGTTTATTTTGATCCTTGTCTTTTCTGTTAGAGGCTTTCTTTAGTTAATTCACATTAACTGTCTGGTCATATTAATGAATGAGGAATAGGGGATGAGGCATGGCTCACTGGTAGTGTGCTGGCCCCAATGTATGAGGCCATAGATTTGATCCCCAGTACAGGAAAAAAAGGAAAAAAAGAAAAACAAGGAAGAGGGGAAAATAGAAAGAAAGGGAGGGAAGAAGGAAGGGAGGGAGAGAGGGAGGGAGGAAAAGAGAGGGACAAAGAGAGAGAGGAATTATGCATTATAATTGGGCTTGTTGATTAGTTGTTCTCTCCGTAGGGCAGGGGCCCAGACATTTCTTGGGGATCTCCCAATGCTAGCATCTTTAGGTCTTTTATTTTGAGCTAGTAAGTATCCCTATAGCAAGATGCTGGGGCTATAAACCTGGGCTGGTGGGTCATGGATGAATGAATGAGCAAATGGACTTCTACAAAGAGAAGTGTAGAATGGAAATTTGCCTTGGTTGATGACCCTGGATTGCAGAAGTCCCCCTGTTTCTAACACGAATGGATAGGACAACTATCTTGAGAAAAGACTTAAAGAGCCCTTTTCATGGAACCCCCTGCTGGGCAACATATTCTTTACATTTTTCCTTGGGGGTCCCTGAAAATGTCCAGAAGGGCCCCAGGTGCAGCTACTCCAAAACCTACCTGGGGTGTCCATTGATTTCTCTTTATCTCTCCAGCTGATCTGATTTGATCCCAGGAAACTTTATGAGTTGTCAGGGGAACAACAACAAAAACTACATATCCACTGTAGTTTAAAGCTTTGTCTGGGCCCTACAAGAAATGTTCAATTTTTTCAGAAAAAAAACTTGTCTCTGTAATAACCTTGCCATACCATTTACTGCTTCTTTCCCTAAAATGGCCTTCAGGTGTATGGTGAGAGAGGGGCTTAGATGATCTCATAGCTTTGAAAAACAAGTTCTTCGGGGTCATATGATGTCCTTGCACAATCAGAAATACTCCTAGAACATTAAAAGACACTGTCAAGAGACAGAAAAGGAAACCCACAGAATAAAATACTTCCAAATCATATCTGATAAAGAATTAATGTCTAGAATATATAAAAAACTCTTATAACTAAGAAAAAAACCCAAACATGGTTTAAAAATAGGCAAAGAACTTGAAAAGACATTTTTCTAAAACATAGACAAATGACCAATATGATCCTCAACATAAGTAATCATTAGGGAAATTCACACCAAAACTAAAAGATACCACTTGTTAATATGGCTATTATTAAAAAGAAAAAAGGAAAGAAAGAGAATAAGTATTGGTGAGGATAAAAAGAACATGTGCCCTGTTCAAGGGAATAAAAAATGGTTCAACCACTGTGGAAAATAGTATGGCAAATACTAAAAAATAAAAATTTCATATAATCTAACAATTCTACTCTAAGTATATTCCCCAAATAAGTGAAAACAGGGACTTGGATAAATATTTGTACACCAATGTTCATACCAATGTACAGATACGTGAACACTGGTGTACTGTTTGGTGTACTGTTAGTACACCAATATTCATACTATTGTAAATTATTTTTTCTATTATTCACAACAGGCAAAAGTTAGAAACAACTCAAACTTCCATCAGTGGATGAATGATAAAATGTGATATATACATAAAATGACATATTATTAAGCCTTAAAAAGGAATGAAGCTGGGCATGGTGATGCATAACCATACAACCATAACCATAATCTATAATCCCAGCTACTCTAGAGGCTGAAGAAGGAAGATCAAAAGTTCAAGGCCAGGGGCCGGGAATTTAGCTCAGTAGTTTCACCACCTGCTGTGCAAGAGCAAGGACCCAAGTTCGATCCACGGTACAAAAAAAAAAAAAAAAAAGCCAGAAAAAAAGTTCAAGGCCAGCCGGGGAATGTAGTGAGACTCTGTCTCAAAATAAAAAAATAAAAGGACTGGGGATGTGCCTCAGTGCTCCCTGGGTTGGATCCTCAGAACTGGGATTTTAAAAAAACAAAACCTGACACATGAACTTGGAAGACTTCAAGCCTAGTAAAATACGTCAAACACAAGAGGACAAATACTGTATGATTACACTCACATGAGGTACCTATAGTAGTCAAATTCTTTTATTGATTTATTTGGTGTTCTGAGATAAGATCTTGCTATGTAGTTCAGGGTGGACTTGAGCTCACTGTGTAGCCCAGGCTAGCCTCAAACTCACTGTGTTCCTCCTGCCTCAGCCTCCCTAGTACTGGGATTACAGAAGTACACCACCACACCCAGTCAAATTCTTAGAAAGTAGAATGGTGATTGCTAGCGGCTAGAGGAAGGAGAAAACGTGGATTTACTGTTTAATGGCTTCAGAACTTTAGCTAGGGATGATGAAAATATTCTAGAGACGGATTATGGTGAGATCTGCATGACAATGTGAATGTATTTAAGGTCATTGAACTGTACACTTAAAATAGTTAAGATGGTAAATTTTATGTGTTCATGGCAACAGGGCCAATTTAAAGGATTTGAGCATCTATGAGTTTTAGCTTCTGTGGGTTGTCTTGGAAGCAAGCCTCAGTGTATACTGAGACACAGAGAGGGCAATCCTAAATGGATGTATGTCAAATCACGCAACCTCAAAATGAAGCATGTGAACAGAGATTCTGAAATTGTGCATTGTAATGGTCCTACTTATCAGACTCCTTTCCATTCTCATTATTCATGTTTCTGTTCAATGCTTTTTCTTCAAACAGCTCTTAATCTAACCACTCTACTTAAAATAGACATTTCCCCCAGCGATTCTGTAACTCTGCTTTATTTTTCTTTGCAGTATTTTGTCATAACATGGCACTTTAATATTACTAGTTAACAAGTTTGTTGTTAGTCTTCCCCACCAGAGAACAAGCATGATGGGTGCGTTTTGTTTTATTCATATCATGTACCCCGAATTTAGATCAGAACCTGGAACATCTTAGCAGAGGCCCAAAGATATTTTTGAGTAAATTAATTTATGTATTTTATAATAATATTTACTACATTAAGTATGTATTTAATATATTTGTTAGGTTTATTTAATCCTTTTCATTATCGTTTATTCACTCATTCACCAATCTACTTTGTGTCAGTCAGTATGAGGTGGGAGGAGACAGACATATAGAGTTTCATAAAGAAATTCCCATTTCCTGAAGAATAAAATTCAAAATCCTTCGAACAAAGATAGGACCTCCTAAATCAAGGGGGAAAATAAGTTTATTTTTAAGCACTGAAATGATAGGTTTGTTTCTTAAAATGTGAAAGCATCCCTCTGTTTCCTTCTAGTCTCCCACGGAGCCCAACGCCTTCATTTTCCGCGACTGAGAACAGGGCCAAGTCCGCGCCCGCTGACTCCTCCCTCGGTAACTGACGGCAGGGGAAATCCCGAAGAGACGCTTACATCAACCCTTCCCCCCTTCGCGCTAGACTGAGTTAGCAAAACCCTGTGGGAATGGCTTCGGCCTCAGCCAATAGACGAAGCCGGAGCAAAGGCTTGTGTAAACAAACCAGAGGAGCTGAGTCTTGGGCTCCTCCCCCACGTGGCAGCTCGACGAGTCCTTAGCTCAAAGCCCTTCTCCGACCAGCGCAGCGTCCTTTCAGTCAATCCCAGCCGGGGTCTCCCGCAAGTAAACGTTCCAGCCCAGGGAAAGAACTAAAGGAGCGAAAGGACAGATGTTGAGACCAATCATATGCTGGACTTCTGAGGCAGTGGGCAGACATTGCTTCACATTTACACCAATGAAAATCACACATGCTCGGCTAGGCGACTGAGTGGCAGCTTCTTCGGTCCAATAGAAGAATGGGGCGGTGCCCGGCAACCAATGGCTTGGGTTCGGGGGCGGGGCGAGAAGCCTGTGTGCAGTAAGAGGTTGCCAGCCTAGGCTTAGTGGTGCTTCTCCAGTGCTGTGGCTCGGGTTTTGGTACTAAAGGCCGAGACTGTCCTGGCGTCGACGACCTCTGCGGCGAAGGCTTAGGCTCTCAGAGAGTGGTAGAGTACCGACTGGAAGAAGAGCTTCTGATCAGCCTAGGTGGGCTCCGGCGCCAAGACCTGCGGATCTAAGTGCTCCCTGCGCCCCCTTTTCATCACCATCGAGATTGTGAAGGGGCAGCGCGTGCTTGCCTTACTGCCTGTAGGGCGAGGAAGTCCGCAGGATCCCACGTCGCAGCCATTCGCGAGAAGGTGCGTCTGCTTGGGTCACCTGCCCCTTGGGAGCTGGGGGAGGGGGTCTTGGTCCCTTTTTCTCTGTACAGGTGCTGTGTTCCCCCACCCCCACCCCAAGTTCTTGAGTCTTCTCAAGCCCCTTGTAACACTAGGACCAGATTCCTGGGTTTGTAAATTTCCTCACTATGGTGCAACACTGCCAGACAAATTGAGCACTGCTGTACCCCACCACCACCACCCCGCCTCCCTTTCCCAAGAGGCGGGAGCGAGGAAAGGGTCCACATTTTACCCCTCCCCTATTGGCGGGCCCCCGTGCATTTTCAGCGTTTTTTATAGCCCCTCCACCTCCCTCTTTACTTCAGGCCTCCTTCTTCGGACCTAATTTGGAGACTGGTCACTTTTCTCCGGTGTCTCCAGCAAGTAAGCACCCTTCTAATTTAATCCTGTCTCCTACATTTAATTCTCATCTTTCTTAGAAACTAACATTTTTCACTTGCTTTTTCCAGGTAGCTGGAAGGTGAACATAAGAGAGGCAGAAGAATTTGAGAGAGGCAGACTACACTGAACAGGGAGTTTTGCAAGGTTGGGAACTTTAATCGGTTTTGTCGATGTGAACTATTTTTACCTCCCTTAAGAGGACTTTTCATCATTATACCCTTCTAGAATCTTTGTCCCGATAAAGTTCTTTTAGTGATAACTGCTGAACGTGCAGGTAGAAAGAGCTTACTGGCAGCAACAGATTTGAAATTTTACCATTTTTTAAGTGAGTAAAATTGGATTATACTTTAAAGAGCTTAAAGAGTCGGAGGCTCCAGTAAGGGCTTGGCCACCGTAGTTTATTACAAAATATACTTCAGCAGTATACAGTACGACGTAATTTGAGCACATGTAATTTAGGGGTGGATAATAACAGCACTGAATATGTTAAAAAATTATATTCCATATTCTCTTTTCACAGAGTATTTGTGTTCACCTTCATAGTATAGCCATTTGTTTTCCAGTAGTGTTGAGTCTAGCCATATGTTTCTAGATAATAGTTCACACCCAAATACACCTTTTTTTCTGGCAGTGCTGAGAATTGAACCCAGGGCCTTGAACATGGTAGGCAAATGCTTTTACCCTGAGCAATATCCACAGTTCCCTAAGTAAAATTATGCCAAGAATCTTATGGGGAAAACTAACTCATTACTGCTAGTTTTGATTTAGATTTTAGAGGTTTGGAAACATTAATTTAGGTATCAAATAGTGAGTTTTATTTTGGAAGTTGGAAAAAAAGTTTTGGGATAAGATTGATAGACTTCTTAGGCTCTGTGTGTATGAGAAAGACAGAGAGACAGTATACACACATACAAAACCTTGTTCATTCTCACAGTACTTAAATTTCATGAGTTTACATAAACTAGAATTGTTTTTTCTAGTTCTCAGTGAAGAAATATAAACATGTTCATTGTGTTTTGGACAGGATTTTGTAAGCTTTTGTGGAAAAAAATATTGTTTTTCTTATCCACCTTCTAACATGTATATCAATATGCTTCCATATGTTAAGATTTTATTTTGTGTATATACAAATAAGTCTATTAGAGTGAATTAAAAGACATCTTTATTCTGAGGTGACAATATTGTCTAATGGACCATATGTTTGAGCCTTGTTAATAAATTGTACTAAAATGAGCAAGAGCTTAAAAAACTGTTCTTAAAAAAAATGCCTAAGTATCTAGAATAATAATAAGAATTTGTGACAGAGTTACAGCAGTCATTAAAGAAAAATCCTGGAAAATTTCAGATCTCTGAGTTTTTCACAAATACTGTATCCAAATGGGCTGATAAGTTGATATTGGGCTGGACTTAAAAATCAGTTTTGGTTGGGGCCAGGGATTTAGCTCAGTGGTTCTGTCGCTTGCCTTGCAAGCGCAAGGACCCGAGTTCGATCCCTGGTACCAAAAAAAAAAAAAAAAAATCAGTTTTGGGGCCAGGGATTTAGCTCAGTGGTGCTGCCACCTGCCTCACAAGCATGAGGTCCTGAGTTCAATCCCTGGTACCAAAGAAAAACCAAACAGTTTTTTGGTTAGTCTTTGCAGGTATATTTGCATTTAATAATTACTTGTTTGCAAGTTTAGAGGACTGTAGCTATGATTTTGGGACTTTGACCTTGAGGATCTCACTGTTAAGTGGAGGACAGACCTATAAACCAAGAATTAAATGCATGCAGAGAAAGGTTCTGTAGTTTGGATGTGTACAAGGTGTTTTAGCTTCATTGCCTACTACTCTAGACTTCCTAAAGTGCCATTTCTTGAATTTGCCTGTCTTGCATGGATTATAATCTTAAATCTTAAAAACAACTCATCCTGGTAGATGCCTTTTTCTTTATTTTACAAAAGAAATAAGGTTCAGAAGTATTAAGTGATTTGTCTAAGGCCACCACAATAATATGCTAGATTTAGGATTCAAACCCTAGCCTTTTGGCCTGAAAGCTAGAGCTTCTTGCACTACGTATACTTCACTGCCCCCTGCTGTCTCTGTCCACTTGATCATCTCTTGAGAGTTAAACCAAGAAGGCTTGGCATTGCCTTATTCCACCTTAGCCTGGTACATGTGGAAGGTACAATAGATTTTTTCACTACTATAATACATATCCATGAGTGACCTCAAAAGCTTGACAAGTATTAATTTTGGGGTAACACATAAATTTTAGCAAATTGGTGAATTTGCACATATGAAATCCACAAAAAATGAGGATCAACTATACTTAAAAGTGATCCCCCCAAGATCCTCAGTAGAATGTTCCTTTAGCTTCTTTGATAATGTATTCATTTATTTATAAATTTATTCATTTATTTATTTATAAATTTATTCATTTATTTAACAGATAATGTTTATTTATTCAACAGATATTTATTCAACAGATATTAATGTAATTCAAACTAGAGATTAAAGTCTTGTTTGATGGTTTTTCTTTTCTTTTCTTTTTTGGTGGTACTGTGGGATTGAACCCAGGGCCTTCACGCTAAGATACATCCCTTGCCCTTTAAAAAATTTTTTTATTTTTAATTTTGAGAAACGGTCTAAGTTGCTGAGTTGCCTAGACTGGGCTTCAATTGTATTTATTTATTTGTTTGTTTTTGAGACAGGCTCTTGTTATGTAGTTCAAGGGGGTGGCCTTGAACTCACTGTGTAGCCCAGGCTGTCTTCAAACTCATAGCAATCCTCCATCAGCCTCCTGAGTGCTAGGATTACAGGCCCAGTATATGGCTCTCACATTGAAATAAGAAAGACAACTAAACTTGGTTTAGTTGAAATTACAGATTAGTTTGACCAGGGTGAAACTTTTTGTGCCCCTCCCACTTTGCATCTCCAAGTGTAATTCCAGAACATTTCTGTGCTATTCTTTTGCATAAACTCTTCCCCATGAGCTCCTCTCATTGACTGCTGTTAACCTCTACTTGTCATTTGTTAATTTTGAAAACATTTGCGCATTTAACTGGTAGGATTTTGTAGAAGAATTATGTTGACCTGAATACTTTTAATTCTGCCTTTGCCATCTACCATGTATGTGAGTGACTTCAGTCAGACTCTTGGACTTTTGAACCTGTTTCCTAATTTTAAAGTGTTTAAAAAGTTGTTTTAGACTTGGGGGTTTTAAGGCAGAGGCATTCACACATATTACCTTGGTGATGAGGGGTGAATGTAACTTGAATGGGAAATCATTTCACAATCTGTATTGTATCTTGGCCTTCTTGCTTTCAAAACTTTTATAGAAAAATAGCTTATCAGTATTTAGGGTAGGATCTAATTCCTCAAAATCTACCTTCTTTTACTTTGTCTGCTCAATGCTTACATTTTCCTAAGAGAGAATATCTGATTGGATTGATCTGTTATCTTCTAAAGACCTCTACTGGACAAAAAAATTTTTTTTTTTAATTCTGAGACAAGATTTCTCACTGTGTTGTGCAGGCAGACCTCAAACTTGTAGTCCTCCTGCCTCAGCCTCTTGAGTAGCTGAAATTGGGCAGAATTTTGAGCCAAACCATGTGTTTGGTTCTTGATCTTCTTCAAGTTCATCCTGTACATTGTCCTTAGCTGAGGCACTGAGCCCTGGTCTAGATTCTTATAGCCAAAGTAATTGAGCTGGTTTCATGTATTCTGTCTCACAGACAGTAGACTATGTAAAAAGAACTCCTTGGAGACAGTTTCTTCAGAAGATAAGGGGTAGCAGTCCTAGAGTTTCATGGCCTTCTTTCTAACTCAAATACATATCTAGCATGATCATAGATAATATTTAATGAACTAACAAAATGATTGACATATCAAATATTGAGAACATCTTCCTCTTGCATTTAGTATTATCGTGAATATTTGTCCATACGACTGTTTTCTATACCATACTATGAGCTCCATGAGGGCAGCAGGGTCCACAGCTTCATCTCAGCTTTCTTTTCTTTTTTCAATATTGGGGATTGAACCCAGGACCTTTACCCTGAGCTACATCCCAGCTCTTTTTTATTTTGAGACAGGGTCTCAAAAAATCACTAAGTTGCTGAGGCTGGGCTCAAACTTGCAGTTTTCCTGCCTCAGCCTCCCAGAGTGCTAGGATTACAAGTATGCATCACCATCTCTCTATCCTTGGCCCTTACTTCAGAGCCTGATGTGTAGTAATAAATGCATAGATACTGGATTTGAGGAATTCTCAACTTTTCTTAAAATGATGGGGAGTGAATATGAAGGCTTCCCAAACAAGGTATTATTTAAGCTACCCCAATAAATGCGCGCGCGCGCACACACACACACACACACACACACACACACACACACCCTTGCTGGGGATTAAATACAAGGCTTCTCTTATGCCAATCACGTGCGCTACCATTGACCTATAACCCTGACTCCTAAGCTGATTCTGAAATGATGAATAAGAATGTTTTCTAGGTAAATGAAACCTTGAGATACCATTTCAAGGAGACACTAGCAGGTGCAAAGGTACAGATACAAAAATGTGATGAAGTTGGCTGAATATTCCTTGTAGATTGAAAAAACAAAATAAATAAACTCAAAAAGCAAACAGTTGAAAATCACCTAAGGAAAAAATTACGAATGAGCTTGGCCAGAGTGCATATCACAGCTGAATTAACTATGACCATAGTTACTCAGTAATGGGTACAAGTTTTATGGGGAGAACATTACATTCTTATGTTGCTGGCAGTATCTATAGTGATTTAGTAATACACATACTGAATTCTGGCAACGATTACAATGTAGTGAAATCATTTACTTCACCATGTATCAATCTTCTGTGTGTCACACACTGTTCAAGGTACTGAAAATGTAATCAAAAGGAGCTCACAAGCAAGCAAGGGAGATAGATGGATGCACAACTGATTTATCATGTGATAAGTGAGGTAATAGAGATATGAATAAAATTCTATCTAAACAGGAGAAAAGAGCAGTTAGTAATATATAGAGTGCTAAGAAATGTTTCTCAAATGAAGTGATATTTGAGCACTCTGAAGCACTATATCAATATAAGATAGACTAAAGGAATGTATTGTAATTTGAGTTAACATGTTGGTTTTAAGTTTTATATTACA